CGCCGCCGACTCCCCGGGCTCCGGCCTGGCCGACGAGAGCGCAGACGAGGGCGCGGCCGACGCGGCACCAGGTGAGCCCGCGCGCCCAGGTGTTCCCGCTCAGGGAGCCTTGTGCCCAGGGGCCCCCCCACCCAGGTAGCCCTGTGCCCTGGTAGCCCTTCCCGGGATATTCTTTGCCCAGGTATTCTGCCCAGGTATCCCATGCCCAGGTGGTCCCATGCCCGGGTATACCTGAGCCCAGGAGGTCCAGGGTCAGTAGCCCCGTAGCCAGCTGATCCAGGCCCAGGTAGTCCTGGCTCCCAGGTAGTCAGGGCTCAGGTAGCCCTGTGCCTAGGTGGCCCGGCATCCTAATGTACCAGCCTCAGGCAGCCCCAGTCCTCAGGCAGCCCCATATTCCAGGTGGCCCTACACCCAGGTAACTCTGATTTTGTAGCCCTTGCCCCGGTGTCCCAGCCCCAGGTAGTCTTGGCACAGGTAGCCCTGCACCTTGGTGGCCCCACACCTGGGTATCCTGAACCGGATGTATACTTGGAGGTCCAACCCGCAGATGCAGACGCCTGTCAGCTCCACTTCAGGCTTCTTTTTGCTAATTGCCCATAGTGTTTGCATAAGTTAACACCTCTGGCCTGTTGAGTTGATGGTCTCTCCTGGTCATTTCTGAGCGAAGAACAGGTGATGGGCCACCTCTGAGATGTGCCCTTCTCTTCCTTTGCAGCGCCAGACCCAGTTCTCTCACCATACAGCCTGCACACGCATGTGTCCACACACACTTTCCTCTGCTCTCCTCCTCTCTTGCACCAGACAGCCGAGTGAAAGAGTAACTTCACGTTGGTGTGCGGTCATGATTAATCTCCTTGGATTCAAGTAACCCTGTGGGTTTAGAGACGGCTAATTGGAACAGATTACTTTCTAGATAGCAGCTATGTAAATATTTAAAGATGCTTGCCCAATTTTGTTTTCACTATTTTTCTTCTTTTTATAAATTTTAAACATTTTGATATTTTCTTGATTGTTTTTTGTTTTGGGTGATTCTTTTAAGTGTAAGGTGATGTTTCAGTGACAGAACGTGTAACTTTGTCCCCATAGCTGGGGATGTGTTTCGCTTCTCCCTGATCACTGGTTAATGGGTGCGGCTGTTACCTGGAGGTCAGGGGTCCAGGAACCCGTGCCTTCAGCAGGGCTGTTTACGTTCTATAGTGAGGATACGACCCCTGTGCGTTTCTTCACAGCAAAACACAAATCTATGTCATTTTTTCCTCATTAGAGACTTAGCTAAGTCTTTGGGACAGAGTTTAATTATTGTCGGTTTATACAGCGTGTTATGTGAGAACCTACTGCACTCAGATACATATTGAGTCAATAAAATCGTTTCTCTAATCCTGTAGTAAAACCTGTGCTGAGTCTGCAAACACATTTATAAGTGTGCATACAGGTAAATGGACACGTTATGCATCGACCTGTATTTCGCACTTCATTTCTTAGTCATTAACCTGTGGGAAGGAGCAGGGGGATGTACTGTTCTCTGAAAATGCACATTCTTTCTGTAAGCTTTTTTGGATTCTTCTAACAGTTTGTCATGTAAAACCTGGTGAACCCAATTGCAACCCCTGAGTGGCATTTTTGAAGATTAATTCTTGGTTTTCCTATTTTTAAAATTTTTACAACTATAGATTTTACTGGTCACATTCCAATAATACTGTGACTCCTTTTTGGAGCACATTGAATAAAATATTAGCTCAGCACCACCTCTGTTTTTTTTTTTTTTTACTTTGAAGACAATTATTTTTAATATTTGGAAAGATTCTTGGGTCTTGCCCCGTCTATTATGATGGTGATCAAATGATTAATAATAAGCTAATTTAGTAGTGCTTTCAAAGTCAAGATGTTGGAAAGATCAAATTATTTTCACTATAGATTGGAGTTTACTTTTTTCTTCTCAGGTGTGTTAAATTTTAGAGATTGTCATTTACTTCTTAATGAGATTATGTATTTTCTCTATATGTAATCTATTTTTTTGAGAAATTTGATACCTCAGATGATTCTATAAGAAGACTATATATCATACTTGAGTTTAACAACAAGTTAAGATAGAATCAGCAGGATATTGTAGCTTACTGAGAGCTAGAAAAAGAAATTTATGGCATGACAGTGGTATAAAATATGGAAGAACATTGTAGGTCTGCACGGGTCACTTTTTTTTTTTTTTGGTGAGGAAGATTGTCCCTGAGCTAACATCTGTGCCAGTTTTCTTTTTTTTTTTGTATGTGGGATGCCACCACAACATGGCTTGACAGGTGGTGCATAGGTCCACACCTGGGATCTGAACCCTTGAACTCCGGGCCGCCGAACTGGATTGCGCAAACTTAACCACTACACCACTGGGCCGGCCCCTGCACGGGTCACTTTTTGTACCCAAAGGGCAGTATCTTTCCTCTGAAAAACACACACTTTTCAGTCATAGCAGGCCTTTAATGGTCTGGCGTGGCACTCACGGATCCTCCTTAATGAGAGAGATGGGTGTTGCATGGAGTCAGCACTCACAAAGCGCTCTCATCTGTAGGGTTTGGTGAAGGCCTTGGAAGCAGCTACTTTGGAAAAGCAAATGGGTATTTTGAGTTCTCTATTTTGATATGTAGTTTGCCCTTCTTTTGTTAAAAAACACATATAACTTCAGAAAACGCTTCCCTTTCCTGTTACTCAAAGATTGTTTAGATCTTTAAATGTTTAAGTGACTAAATTCTCATAGGACTTTGGGATGACTGGTTAAAATTGTTAGAGGAAATATGTAGAAATTGAGGGATGAAAGATCACAGTTCTCATAAGAATGAATCCGTCTACTTGTAGTAGTTGAGTTGGCATTAGAATTCAGATTTTTGTGACTCTTCAAGTAAATCCTCATTGTGCCGCAATTTTACCCAAAGTTTTGTTGACATCCAGGAATGGATTTGAATGCTACTTCTGGATCTAGAGATAATTTGCTTTATCAGATTAATTGAAAGAAACTTCTTTTTTTCATGAAACGTTCTTTTTCATTTGAGGGTTGCTGTCTACTCCTTTGGAAGGCTTTGATTGTCATGTTACCTTTATGTACACAGGAGACTGGGTCCTAGCAGCCCTCATTACTGACTTAAGATAGTAGAAGAGCCAAGTTGTGAATAATATTCAATAATTTAAAATGTGTTACTAAGCTAGATTTTAATCCTCCATTGAGAAAGTGACATGGTGCTGATAGAAAGTACAGTTTTGAAGTTCACAATAAATTAATCCTTTTAATTAGGGAAGAGGAGTATTGAAGGGGCATATAATTGAAATTTATAAAAATGAACATTTTCAAACACAAAGCAGAGTCAGTGTGCTTAGAGGGAGGACAGGTGAATATTCTGCTCCTCCAGGAAATAGGCCGAAGTCGCCTTCTGCTCAGAAAGCCTTTGGGTGGCTTGGGTATGACAGAAGCCTGCGAAGTGCGTCCTCTTGAAGGGTTCTCTTCCTGCGGTACCTGTGCTGTTAGAGTGGGTGCCATCCTGAGAGGCCCCTTAGTCGGCCTCGCCTGGTGCCCGGAGCTGGTGAGGTGTTTGAACCTGCCTCAATGCGAAAGGCCGAGGAGCTCATTCCCACTGTTCATCTCCATCGTTTCTGCTCAAACTTATGTGACTACCCCAGGTTTTGACCAATTCTTGTTTTCCTAACATCTTCTGTCACATCAAATCCGTAGTCTATTGAGCCCACCTTCTCTGGATATCTTTGGATACTCACTGTAACTTAATTGATGGTAAAACCCCAAGTGTTAGATGAAGTCATATGAAATTGCAAATATTTGACTGTTTTTGACTGACAGAGAGGGCAAACTGTATGACTCAACCTAATAGAATAGAAAGTTCTTAGAACAAGTGCCATAAAATTATATGCAGTTTGAAGAATTAAGGAGAGAGTTTTAAGAAATAAAAAATATGGTCAAGGGAAGGAAAGATAATTAAAGGAAGAAATGGACTTACTTCAGAAAGTCTCCATTTTCCTATATTTCTGTGCTTGCTGCCTCCCTCCAGGCCAACGCACTTGTACATTAGAGCTCATCTTCTTTCCACCGTAATTGAAAGAAGGTCCAGTCTTTTGACTCTAAAATGTTAGCTGAGCGCACGCTTTGAGACTGACCAGTTGTCTACATTTGCGCGAGGGCCGGCGAGGAGGGCCAGACTGCGGTCGTGCAGCCAGCGAGAAGGTTCAGCAGCCCTCCTTCCTTCTTGTTGATAGAGAGTGGACAGTCCTTAGAACATTCTAGCTTAGGAGGAGGTGTTGTTATACGTGCACCCATTGTGACCGGATT